ATCCATCCATCTATCCATCCATCCATCTATCCATCCATTCATCCATCTATCCATTCATTCAATCCACATCCATCCATATTCATCCTTCCGTTCATTCACTTCATTCTGTACTTTTCTTTTTACTTTCCTCTCCTAACATTGCTTATTTCTGCTGTAATCTCTATTACTATAACTTTGTTTAATATTCATTACTACCACTACTATTTATTATCATTACCATCAATATTATTACGATAATCATTTTTGAAGGTTTTCATCGAAACATACAGCAACAGTAGCAGCATGCTATAAATTTATTCAAAAATATTAATGATATTTCTTATGCAAATTCCCTATTTTATTCCTACCTTGAAAATTATTATTGTTGACTCGTACGTGAACAAAACTATTTCCCTTTGAGGTTATACAATAAGTTATTTTTGGTTGGATGCGAAACGAATCAACTTATAATTCCTGTACGATCGGAACAATTCAAATTATTACTTCAATTATCAATTCCCATGTTACAAAATGCAAACAATAGTAGTAGTAGCAGAAGCAGCGGTAATAATAAAAACAGTAAAGATGAAGATGGTGATACTGATGGTAGCAATGGTAGTATTGACGGTACCAGTGATAGTGGTACTAACGGTGGTGGTGGCGGTATTGGTGGTATTAGTGGTGGTGGTGATGATGGTGGCAGTAATGGTCCTGATGATGGTCGTGGTGGTGGAGCTTTTCAACCGGTTAAACCTCGATCTATGGGAAATTTGTCACCTATGGCATTATGTGTTGAATCAACAACAAAAACGGATGAAGCAGCAGTGGTTATGGGACGATGTCATATCGATGAAATGGCTGTTGATTCGTCCACTCCAACTACCACCACAACTGAACGACGTAAAAAGAAGCCATACAAAGAGTTAACGCTTGAGGAAAAAGTTCAATTGATTCGTTTAGCGGAAGAAAATGCTGGAATGAGTCAAGCAAGTATTGCGGAACGTTATTCAATTGCTAAAAGTAATGTTTGCCGAATTTTACAACGGAAACATGAATATCTTCGAGCATATGAATGGGCTGGTTTTGCTGGATCTCGTAAGCGTAAACTTCGTGGTGATCCACAGCATCATCATCATCATCATCATTATCACCAACAGCAACAGCAACAGCAACAACAACAACAACAACAACAATCGCGTGGAAATACCAGAGATTTTAATAATTTCCGAATTTTAAAAATGGCAAATACGACAAATTGTACCGTAACCCATAGTGATTCAACAAATTATATGGAATTGGCAACATCAAGTAGTACGACGGAACGTGCAACTAACGATAATCATGTCATTGTACCACAACGCCCTACAACAATCATGCATCAACGGGGTAATATCATTTATATTTTACTTTGACAATTTTTTCATAGATATTTTTGCATTTAAATGCAATGCAAATGAGAGGATTTCACTTGCTTCATCATTTCTTTCTCTATATTTCTCTTCTCCCATTTTTTTCTCTACCCCATCTATGAGATAATTTTAAAAAATCCTAAAATTTTTACCTATTATTATGTTTAAAAATAAAACTGTTAAAATGAATTTCTTTTTATTGTTCTTTGTTGGTCATTTTCCTAATTTCTTCATTGGTAGCCGAAAATTGTCACTCTCCAATTTTAGCAATGGAACACTCTAAATCCGATCGATTTATTATGATTCATTTCAAAATTCACATTCTCACTTTGAAATGACCAAATGGAAGAGTTTAACTTATAATTTAATTAAATTTCCATTTCATTTAGTGATTAATAACGGTTTCTCAGTTGAATATTTTACTTATCATTTTTAGTTTAATGAAACTTAATTTTGATTAATTTAATGAATTTATTTCATAGATATTAGTGCTAATATAATAATTTCACATATATAATATAAAAAATTTTGACCTTTATATTTTTCTTACTAAATTTGGTTACCGAAGTGTTTCTTTTCCTTTATTTAATAACTTTATTAAATTTGTTGGATATTTAATAAAAAGAAAAAGTATCCGTTTGTTCCATTTAATGTGAATTCTACCTAATAATAGGAAATCATTTTTGCTTGAAAACCGTTTTTTCTTTTATTCAATAAATAAGTTTAATTTTGGCTATTAGAAATATTCTCCAGTTTGTTTTTTTTTGGAAATAATAGATTATTGTTTTTTTTTCCTTAATTAAGCCCTTGAGGTTGCGCTGAATTATTTCTTTTAAAAAAAAAGCTATTAATGTATTTTATAATATTTTTCCTTTTTTCAGTTTTCTTGGTTGATGAGAAAAATTAATTCCATTAATTCTATTTTCGCTTCACTTTTTATCTAAAGTGTTATCCATTTTATCATTTTTAAGGAAAGAATTCAATAGAATTGTATTACCGATTAAAATTTTTCTCTTATTACTTTTACATAACGACAGCATTTTCAATAATAAGAAGAAATAATGGATTCATTTCATATTAAATTGGGATCAGAAGTGAATTTGAATACAAAAATTAAGATTGCTTTTGTTAGAAATCAGTAGATAATTTTTTGCACTTTCATTAGAATAATTCACTTCGAGAATTACGTTTCAGTTATTTATTAGTTCTTCTACAGATTAACTTTTTTTTTTTGATTATTCTTCCTTTTAATGTTTTATATTTTTCTTGATTTTCAACAATTGTTTTGGTAAGTTATATCTTTTAATTTTAATATAATTTAAGAAATAACAAGGTAATCCATCATTTTTATTGCACTAATTGATCGGTTGAAGGATAGATACTTCTCTGATGGCTTTAAAGATGTAAGTTAATTATCATTTCACGAATATTTACTTTATTGCGAAATTGGAACTTTTTTTCCTTTGAAATTCATTGGATTGGATTTTTTTTGTACTGATTGATTTGAATGAATGATTATCATTTTCTTGTACACAAGTTTTCCACACCACTGCTGTAGGATATATGCCGAAATAATTTGTTCGGTAATATATTATAAGAAATAGTGGTTAAATTTGATTAATTAGTTGATTAATTATAATCATAAAAAATAGCAACATTAATTGTCATCGTTCAGCAGCATCATAATTTGTCATTAATGGAAAAAACTGAAAAGATAAGTAAAAAAGAAACAAAAAAATGAAAAATAAAGAGATGGATAATGAAGAAATAATGAATTTTAGAACTGGACATATTCTTATATGAATTATATTAGTAATTAATTTGAATTGACAGAAATTCAAAATATGTCCCATACTACTTCATTTCGCAGTTTTCCTCGAAAATCGAATAATTCCTGAGAGAGCAGGAACAAGTATAAATAGATTAATGAATGGATGAATTCAATTTTTCTCTATTTTCTTCAAAGACAAAAAACAAATACAGATTTAAAGAACGAAAAAAAAACATGAGAAGAAGAGAATTGGAAACTATTCATCAATGTGCTACTTTTCATAAAGAAGAAGAGTGTATGACGAATAGTTTCCAATTCAATTTATTTTCTTTTTGATAAAAATTGAATTATTCTTCAAAATTCTTCTGCCCAATAATTTCGTACATTTTATGGATCTATTTTTTTATATCCTCCTTGCCGATTAACAAATAACATCCTATAATCAAATTTTAAAATATGAAATCGAGTATAAGATTGAATGAAAATTAATGGATGTTGATTAAGGCACTAAAATTCATGTTTTTTAATGATGCTTTAACTTCAAAATGATAAACATTACAATTTGCATTTATTTTTCTGTATTATTTAAAAAATAACAGTTTTATTATCATCTTTAAATCATTTTACTATGATTACTTTAGTAGAATTATGTCTTTACTGTCTGGTAAGATAGTGTGGAAAGAATTAATTAAACACTTTACTAAAATTCTAGTAACAAAAAATATTCTCCTGAATATGTCACATTTACCTTATTGAAAGAAAAAAGAAGAATAATGTATCAAAATATTTAATATATTTATCAAATAAAATTTTTTTTTAAGTTCACAGTATCTGAAATTCCCGGGAATATATCACTGAGATTTTATCATTATCAGACATAACAATAAGAACATCAAAGATAAAGATTTGAATGAAAATTTACAGTTTAATCAATTCATCCATTGCAATATTAAATGAAAAGAGGGAAAAGAACAGAAAGAATAGATATTAAATTTAAATTTTTGTGAATTTTTTAACCATAGTGGAAAGTACAATTAATTTCTTTAAATAGAATAAGTCAACTTTTTTAATCTCTTTTACTTATTTGGACAATCAAAAGTAGTTATTCATTTTAAATTTTGATATTAGTACTATATTTGCATATAATTACAGGCAATGAAACACTTCGAGCACATATGTACAAACAGCATCAAATTTCACGTATGTTCATGTGCCGTTGCTGTAATTGGGCTTTCCCGGACAAAACAAGTTTACATATGCATATGCAGGTACTATAATATTCTTTAACTTTTTGATTTTCAAAATTAATTATGGTAGATATTAAAAAAACGTTCGTATAAAAGTATTTGGAGATATTAGGATTCAATTTTATTTAGTATTATAAAAAGTTTGTCAGAAATAAAATTAATGTAGCAGGCATTAATTTCGTGTAATTTATGAGAAGCAACAAGATGACTTAATTAATATGAAAAAGAGAAATGTGATAATAAAATGAAAAAAGACCAGTGTGAAAATTAATAAAAATTTATTAGCAAATTTTAAATTTCGTGAATAGAATGTTATTTTTGATGAGCATTCCAATTTTTAGGCAAAAGAAGAAGGCAAAACAATATCGGTACCTGTGATCGGTAAAGGTAATCCACCTGCTACACATCAAAATCAAAATCAACAGGAGCAGCAACAGCAACAACAAAATGAGAATTTAACCGGTCAGAGCGGACTGACGGAAAAAGGACGGCATTCACCGCAACTGTCAACGCTTCATGTTCCGCAACCACGTGTTCCGGCAACAAATCCATTTGCTCCATTGCAGCTTCATTCATTAGTTGGACTTGCACCGCAACAAACAGTCAATCTTACCGAACAAACCTGTAAGTTGTTATGAAGTGTTCTTTCATAACAGATCTGAAAGGTTAATATTCACATTGTTTCTGTACTTAATTATTATTCATGTAGCATTGCAAGCGGCAGCAGCTACTTTATTTCAACCAATGGCTCTCCTACGAGATGCATCCGGAAGTGGAACACATGTCGATGATTTAATGTCAAAATTGCGTGAACGTCTGATGCTAAATAATTTGGTTGCGCAATCCAGTTTTGGTCTTGCTGCATGGCTTTCAACTTATCCAAAAATGAATCAGTCAAGTGAAATTTTTTGAAATTATTTAATATATAAATTAAAAGCAATTAGCAACGAGTATTAAAACATATAAAATTAATAAATCTTATTTCCATATGCTTTTTCTTATTATCCCAAAAAGTAAGGCTGAATGAATTTATCGTCTCACCACAGATTTTACCACAGATGCAAGTGGTGGAAATCCGTTGGATATATGCTCATCAAAGGATTCCGATGTGAACTTAGTTGCTGAAGAAGACGAAATTAATGTTGACAAGGAGTATGACGACGATATGATAACGGATAGTAACAGCAACGAACAACATCAGTCGCACATTGTATCTTATTGCTTCATTTTTCTTTTCGCTTTATTAGAAGAAATAAAAATGACTTCTAAATAATAAGAAAGTTTAGTCATATCATTTCGATATATATTTATCAGCTAATAGATTTCACTGAGAAAAAAGGATACAAATACTTGATGAAATATTCTCGAATTAATTGATTAATTGTCTCTAGAATTTTTCTTATTGCCATAAATGAACGAAAAGATTAAAGGTGATAAAGAAGATATTTGTAATTCATAATACATAGGGAAAGAGAAAATATCTACAAAAAGTATATCTCTGTTATCCATCAAAGACTAGAATTTGAATAATACAAGCATTTTTTCTTGTTTGTTTATTGTATCGAAAGAAAAGTTAAATTTTATAAGATGATTTATTTAAATTATCGGACAACAACTTATCATTATTGATGTGTTTTTAGATGGAATTAAGCGGGAAGCATACAAAAATAACAAAGATAGAAACATCAGTGAATCCTGAGGAAAGCAATAACAATGATAATAATGATAATGGTAATGTCGAACGACCTAAAAGCGCGAATGAAATTACAGATGATACAGATGATAATAAGTATGCCTTTAGATTCCATTTTAAATTCTTATCAAGTTTCTTGTAGACTTATTTCACGTAGATATCTATTGATTGTTATGTATGTATGAAAAATTTAATGAAAAAATGTCTTCAGAATCTTGCACGAATCATTGTTGAGGCCAGCTTCTAATGCTGACATTGGAATTATTTCATCTAAAACAATGCCAAATTTACGTTCAGCAATAAATAGTTCCCCAAAGAATGGTAGCCTAATATTTAAGAACGATGAATACAAAAGCCTTTTGAATGGTATTTCGGTAAGTGTGATAATAATTCAGCACTAATATATTTAATGAATTTTAAAAACTAATTGAATTAATTCAAATATTTACGACATAATTGGAATTTTAACTATATTGGGACAATATAATCGAATATTACCCCTTTTTTACAGTAAAATCTGGATAAGATAATTTCTATCTAGAGGATGATATCATATTAATGATATTCTTATGTCAACTAATTAACAATTAATAAAAAAGCTTATAAAGTTTTATTTAATTTGTTAATTGTTTATGTTAGTTTGTAACTTTCACAATAAAATACTTCTCTATTATTTTTTTTTTCTTAAAAATTCTAAAATTTTTTGTCACTCTTACATCATTGTCAGTAATCAGAACACCATTTATTTTTAAAAAATTGATATGTTTCTATTATTTTATGATATATTTGCAGAATAATAACGTCGACAGCATTATTATTAACAACAACAGCAACAATAATAATATCAGCAGTAATAATAACAGCAATAAAGGAGAGCATACAATAAACGAATCATCGGATCCAATTGAAAGTCATATATCACCATCTGAAACTCATAGTAGCATAAGTAATGGTACATCACCGCCTGCATCTCGAGAATGCTATGAATGTGCAATCTATAGGGGAAAACTGGCAATGGCTGAAAATAGATGTCGTTATTTGGAAGGAAAAACTGCTACTCTTCAAGTAAAAATTTTTTAATCATTGAAAAAAATTTTTTGACATAATTTCAAGTTATTTCAAAGAATGATTTCAAAAAAATTGTTTTCAAATCTTTTTTGCTTCTTTAGATGATAATTATATTGTTTGTTGTACATATGTAATGATGAAAATTGGCCATTATCATTTTTTTTCCTGTTTTCTTTTTTATTACATTGATAATTATTTTGTATTAAAAAAATTTCACATATATCATAATAAAATTATTGTATTTTAGTCAGACGCGATTCGCTTTAGTACCCGTGTGACAGCATCCGAAAATTCAGCACGACAATATGAGCAAGAAGGTCGCTTTCTAAGAGAACAAAATGAAATCTTGCAACGAAAAATATTGGAATGTCAGGAGAAAACGTTGGCATTTATGCAAGCTGATCAGGCAACTAATGCGCAAGCTGTAGCTCTTTATTTAAACGATATACTAAAGACGACTTTTCTCCGATAATTCTAATTCTTTGCGTCTTTTCTATTTCTTCCTATCTCCTCTTTTTCAGCTCTGCTCATTATTGCCTATTTCTTGAATTTCTAAAAAGTTTATTTTCCTTTTTTTTCATTCATCAAATTAAAAATTGGTGTCTTTTTTTCGCATTTCATTGCCTTAAGTTTACCTATTCATTTCACCTTATTTTTTGTTCAATTTGGCTACTAATTTGTTTACCTCGTTGATAGGAAACATCATGCTTCACTTTACTTTCATTAAAATGGAAATATGCTAACAATTCATTTAATTTCAATGTTTAAGATTTTAAAAACTAAAGAAATAATACTATCACAATCTTCAATTTATTTCTTCTCTATGAAGAAATGAATTGAAGATTGTGACAGTATTATGGAATCATCGAGGATTATAACCAAAAGTAGCGGAATGCTAATTTATTCTTGATTTCTAAAAATTAAAAGCTATAATAAGGTTAAGAATAGATGAGAACAAAAATTCAAAATTTTCGGTCATCTTTAGTGATGCGATATGAATCTTAAGTCATTATTTTGATTTAAAAAAGTTAAGTTCGTGTACATAATCAGAAATATGTACACTTATTATTGAAATGCAGTTCTCAAATAAAATTTCTAAATTATATTTCCAGCTAAAAAAAATCCCTCTAGAGCATTTCTAGAAATAAGCAAATGCATCCTATTTCAATAATTCAAATTTTTTAATCGATATATGATTATATCAGAGAAAGCATATTTCCATTAATTAATTAGCAGTTTAATTTGTATTGTGTGCCGATGTTCATTTTAATCTTTTTTCTCCCGAGACTTTTCTCCCAGTTGTTTTTTTAGTGCAATATATATATTTGTGCAGTAATAATAATTTGGTTTTTATTAGTAATACTAAAATTGCCTTTACTTTATAAAAAGTTTGGTGAAACAGTCCAAAAAAGATGAAAATATTTAATCATATACTGCTTATGTTCTAAATTGCAACATTCTTGATAATAATCTCTCGTTTTTTTCTTACAGTAACGTTGAATTAGGAATGAAATTTATTTAATGAAAAAATAAATTAACGAAAATCATTTTTACAGAATGATAAATTTTATTAGTCTAACGCTATTTGGTGTTTTAATAATATTGATTATAATGTTGAAGCAGTAGTTCTTCATAAATTCATAAAACAAATAACTGAATTCAAAAAAGAAATTTTGGAATGTCTAATTCTTCAAACTAGAATGGAAGGTTAAATTTATTTTTGTTTTTCGGTTTAAAATTTTGGATTGTTTCACTTATTTTTCACTCACTCTAATGTGCATTACTTGGTGTATTTCATCAGTTTGCTACTGTGATTCTCCTTGATATCCAGTTGTCTTTCGGTTTTTTTTTTGTTGTATGTAAAATTTCTTTAAGGTTAGATTCAAATTTAGATTAATATCTTACATATTTCTTCTCGAAAAATGTTGATTAAAATTATGCAAGTATAATGTTTCTACATTGTAACAACAATCTTTCTTTGTTCGAAGTTTTTTTTTCTCTTTGAATTGTATTTTTGAGCAGACTGCTAATTTAAATTTAACGATGAAGTTGGTTAACTTTTTCTTCATTTCACTATTATTATCGTCATTATTAATACTATTATTATTCAAACACTGAATTTTGTTGAAATAAACAGTGAAGATTTTTGAAATAAATGTTCATAACAATAAGATGCGCATATGCTAAATATTTTCAAAATTTTGGTAAACATTTCTGTACTATGAAATAATGTATATATGTGGAAATTTTTGATATCACATTATATTTGAAAATATATGTTTAAAAAACATATCATATAGCTAAAAATCAACTATTCAAAGATTATTTTTATGTACGCTTTTTAAGATTTCAAAAATTTTTACTCAAACAACTTTTTGTCCGAATTTTATTCAAATAAAAATTAGCAATTTGCTTTTATATTAAAAGTTTTTTTTTTTATATCTTACGCACAATTTTTTTTTTTGCGCTTGGGAAAAATAAAAAATCTTGATGTATTTGATAAAAATGATTTCTGTCATATAAAATATTATTATGAAATAATAAACGATAGAAGATGTAATTTTCAAAACTCAATTTTAAATTAGAAATTTAAGCAAGCATTAATAACCTAACAATTTTCTTTTAAAAATAAGAAAAAAAAAACTTTTAATAAAAATTTTCTTTTATTGCTACCGTTGTTACTATTTCCTACCACTATTTTCCAATGAAATAACAAAAAGAAAAACGATTTCAAAAAATATATGAATTAATGGATTAATTGATCACTACAATTGACACGGATTTATTTATCTTTTCTTCTTTATTTCCCACATCTTTACTTCTTTCATCGTCACATCATATAAATTCCTAAAACAATTCATTTTCACTTTATACCGCCTTAAAATTAAAACAAAACACTTTTATTTGGCTCTATCATCTCTATCATTCTAATTTTCGTTCCCTTTTTTTTTTTTTAGCAATTATTTTTTACCTCAATTTTTTTTCTAGAAATTTTTAGGACAACTATAGTAAATTTGTTGAAAAAAAAATTGATGAAACAGTTTTTCTTTTCATTTCATTCATTTTCTTTTTACTTTTCTTTTCATCGCTATGAGTTGATTTGTAACAATTTCAACAAATCATACAATGTCTGTTTTAAAAGTAATTGTGGAGAACAGAACAGAACCAATTCATCGAATTAATTTTTGTAATAACAAAAAATTAACAAGTATTTTTGTTGTTTTTTTTTTCTCTATCTTTTCAATCCATCATTCTTCTACCCATACATTCATCTCATCACCCACACATATCTTTTTGTCATATCATTTTTTTTTTTTTAAAAAAATATTCATACATGTTTTTAAATTTTAATTTTTCTTTCCTCTTCTCCCTCTTCTATATTCTGGTTCAGTGAACACTAATTCATTCACAAATTCACATAGTTCATTCATTTATTCTATACCAATTGCAAACGTCATTTCCACGAACTGTTTTTGCTCCATTCAATAACAATGAAACAGAAACACCTTTCGTATCATTCATAGAGCGAATGATTGATTTAAATTTTTGTTTGAACTATTTTAATCTTATGATTTTAAATTGAATGAAAAAAAAAAGAGGAATTTGTTAAGTCTCCATATGTCATGCATTCATTTATCTCGATTCACTCATTTATTTTCATAATGATTAGTTGTTTGATTAATTGACAAAAAACAACAATTTACTTTTATTGTTTCTTTCTTCAATATTTAAATACAACCTCAAATTTTACTAGCAAATATTTGTAAATTTTTTGATGATGATTTTTTTTTTTAATTTTAATAATAATGATATAATGAAATAAGTAAGAGATAATTTTAGATTAAATATTAAACACTAGCATTGATAAATTGTATGCTTAATATTATTTTAACGTAAAACAATGCCAGATGTCATCGTATGACATATTGCAATAAATATTAAAATAATCGATGATATCAAATATTAAAATAGAAATATTTAATGTTTTCAAGCTCTTTAACATTCGTAGGTTTTATTTTCATTAAAATACCAATACTTATCTTTCCCATGTGATAGAAAAAAAATTAATAAGTATAATATCACAGTAAACGAGTAACGTGTAATATAATAAATAGACGAATGTGTAAACGTGTATTTATTATCAAAATGAGTAATTAAGATTGTTATAATTAATTTTTGATCATTTGCAACGGAAAGTGTGAAATTAAAGCTTTGATCGAAATACCTGTTAAAGTGCATTTGATAATTAGCTAATTGGCAGTTGCAACTGTATTATATTGATTTATTCCCATATAAGACGTGTTTCATTTTATTTTTTTAAACTTTTTTTCTCTTTCCTGAATTGATATTTTTGTTTTCTTCCGTTCTTTTTTTCCAATTTCATTTTGATATTTTAGTAATGATGCTTATTTAGTCTTATTTATTCTATTCCGATCATTTACTTTCATTTCCTATTTATCATTCGTTAATAACGACGGCGATAATGATGATAACAGCATTAAAGACAATAAATGATAGTGATATTAAAAATTAATAATAACAGTATCTCTTTTTATTAATTCCTCCTCTTCCATTTATTTATTTATTTAATGAATTTAATAAATTAATTCATTTCAATAATGTTTTGATCTTTCAAATATTACTGCTTGATAAAACTTGAGAAATGCCTCGATTTCTTTCTAAAAAAAAATAAATGAACTAAGAGATGCTTCGATTTTCTTTCTAAAAATAAATTAATTAATTCTCCAGGTGACATTATTATTACTATTATTATC